GTGTCATTTATGGTTGTTTGCTTTGGAATTGCTTCATTATTTTCTTCGGTTTCTAGGAGATACGTCGGGGCGTGAGACACACGGAAAGCCCCTCATCTCGCCGGCCACATTAACTACGAGGCGCGGCCTTGACTCTTTCAAAGCTGTCTCACTCCCCGCGAATAATATCAGCCGGGTGACTACGACTGCAAACGTAGGAGTCCCGAGACTGACCAAGCCCCTAATGGTACACACCATTCTACAACACCCACATCGAGGTCATCTTCTGGACAACTACGACCGAAGTCGACTAATTTTGTACCCCCGTACAATTCAATCTCCCAGCTGACTCGTTGCTGCTGCCGTCCGTGAGTTCCAACACATACGTCGCGAATCCTCTTCTATATTTTGATTGCACAGCTTGTACGCATCCGCCTTCATTGTTCCTCTCTCTGAATTTCATGTACTGCAATGTCCGCCTGAACCTGAAGCCTTCGCTCCTCCAATCTACCAAAGGAATCCCATTTGATCCCCCGGTTCGCGATCGTAACCCTAGCCGTTCGGGGGCAGCGCTAAACTTCAGAAATGTTACTGCTCTACCAAAACCCTACGAAGCCAACGGTACGGAACCAGGTGAACGTCGCATGACACGATAACAGCTCCACCACGAGAGCAACTGCACTGCTGTTTGCTCTCACGCCTGACTGCGGTCCGGTGACTTCGTCTCTGCTTGTCGATAGTAGCTCGGCCTTGTCTGGTTCAGTCTTGTTGCGGTCCCGTTGTCCGTGTTCTGTCTCTGCTGCCCGAGGTAGCCCCCCCCCCTTCCCCAGCTACGCAGACGAGCACCTCTATTCGCCGGCTCCATGGGTGAAGAAATCGCAAGCCTTTGGCGTCGTACAGTCTGCTCCTGCCGGGCGCGTCCCCCCCCCGGCCCCCTCCCCCGTTGCCGTGTCCGGCGCTGTCACTACTATCCCTGTCTCCGATGAAGACCCCCGCCTTCGCCTCCGCCCCCGCCGGTACCAGAGCTCGCACTTCCGTCTTCCGCCGTGGACCCGCGGGATCGCTTTATAACGGCGATGGAAGCTGGTGCCCGCCCCATAATGAGCGATGGTTCACTGCCGTGCCGACCTCCACCCATGCCGATGAAGCGTAACGGCGTCGAGCACGTCATTGCGAAAGCTGTGCAGTTGTCGGTGATGATTGTCGCGGACCAGGATGTGCTCAAGTCGATCCGCACCTCGCCGAGGTGCTTACGACAATACTCGCGAGCCCTCACTAATCCAGATCACCAATCGTCGCTCAGAGCGGTTGTTGATCGCCTGCGGTCTCGTCACGCTGCCGCTGCTGCTCGTCCTTCTGCCGACACTTCAGTCTGCGGAGAGTGGCCACCTCGGCCTCGTCGAGAGGGGCGTCACCCTTGCCTGTCGATCGCGCTCGCGTGACGGCCTGCATCCAGCTAGAGTATGTGACACACCTGCGGATCAAATCGCGTGCCGTCGGACTCGCTGCTGATCGTCCTGAAGCTCTCCTCGTACGTGATGAGGAGGTTGTGACCGCCCGGCCCCGCCACCCTTGCCTAGCCGCAGCCCTGCCGCTCCACGTTGAGATCCGTGCGGACATTTAATCACAGTCGGTTTTGTCAACAGCAAACCGGTGACGGGGATGCGTGCGAACGTCAGCACGGCGTAACGGGAACACTCGTTGTTGTCTCAGCGTAGTCGGGAAAAGGGCACACCTGTATCTGCAAGTAGAATTCCTGCACGCCCCTATCTCTGTGGCAGACAAGCGAGCATGGAAATGAGTCAAACGTAAGGTCGCTACTGCTATTCATGCTCATATTTCCTTCGTTGTCTACGCCTGCGTGAATTGAAAGGCGCAACGTTACTGCGCCCCTGGCACTTTTTGGCCCGTCGGGGTTGCGAGTAGTTTCGTGGCACGGCTCGGATATTTTTGTTTAGCAAGGCGCGGACATATTTCCAGATGGTCTCTTCGCGTCAGCCCCTTACGAAGCCACAGCAGGCGAACAAATCGTTCTGTGTTTGTAAACGTGTACTATACCCCGCTGCCCGAGATGCATCTTTGGATTGAAAAGACACTGTAATCGGATCTTTTCCAGATGCGCATGCACCGATCGTTACTACAGTTTTTGGAGAGAGGTGGGAGGTCCGAAAGGTAACGCCTTTCCAGAGAGCTCGGCTTCCCCTTAATACACTTTTCTTCTGGTGAGGGGTGTGTTTTTTTTTTTTTCGGAGCTCGTGGACGGCCTTTTCGCCACGAGGAGCGACTATTGCGCGTCCCTCGTGCCGCTCGGATATATTTTTTTATTGCTAGACAACGCGATTTCTTCCTTGGGTTGATTTTTTGTCTGGCCCGTGCTCATGCAGAAGTCACGCGTTCGCGCCTTGAGCCGAACGATGGGGACCGCAATGCAACCCTCGTATCAGCATATTTTTCTCCCGCCTATGTTTCGTTCGCACCAACAATAAGCTCGCTGCCGTGTGCGGTCTACCTCGTTCATCCTGTCGTCCACATCGTTTACACTATGATTGATTCGCTTGTGGACGCGTGGGCACTGTTTTATCGGTATATTCGACTCTTCTTTAGTAAGAGTCACCACGTAGGACATAACCTCTCGCCTGTCTTTCTCTTACACTTTTATCGATCGATATCATGGATGGCTAGGCACTATTACACCTACCTCCCACCAGGCCTTCACCAAGCCCTCTCTATGTGATATCTCTCATCCTCACTGCCAGTCGGACGAAAGCATACGTTTGTCTTCGACTGCACACACTGCTGATCATGTTCTGCTCTCGTCGTCACCGCCTACGTGTACAATGAGTTGATCCTCTCTTTCGAAATATTTCGATTTAGTATGATCAACAAGAAGACAAGTTGTTTCTCGTCGGTTGCGGCGCAAAGCGCCAATGACTCGAAAATCGACCATGATCATGTTGGGACGACGGACTGAAGATCATGTGTAATCTGTGNTGGCTAGGCACTATTACACCTACCTCCCACCAGGCCTTCACCAAGCCCTCTCTATGTGATATCTCTCATCCTCACTGCCAGTCGGACGAAAGCATACGTTTGTCTTCGACTGCACACACTGCTGATCATGTTCTGCTCTCGTCGTCACCGCCTACGTGTACAATGAGTTGATCCTCTCTTTCGAAATATTTCGATTTAGTATGATCAACAAGAAGACAAGTTGTTTCTCGTCGGTTGCGGCGCAAAGCGCCAATGACTCGAAAATCGACCATGATCATGTTGGGACGACGGACTGAAGATCATGTGTAATCTGTGTGTTTGTCGTTGATGGCACTCAACCTTCAGTAGTGTCGGACAAACGAAGCACTGCTGCGCCCGTCCTCGTTCCGGCTTGCATCATGTGTAAGGCAGTAGGTTTGCTCATCATGGCGGCGCGCGGCAAGTGCCAGAAAATTTCAGAAATATTCTATTCGCACAAAAAGAAGATACCTGGTAGTTTCGATGCAATGCCCCGCCTTCTCCTGATCCTTCAATCAAATGTATTTTTCGGTCAAGACAATGCAACGCCGCAGTGGTAAGTGCATTTTTCACCTACTGCTTGGCCTATGCACTCATTATTGACCATTGGCTTCGGATCGCTAAATTTGGGCGGTGGCGCGAAAGCGTTAAGAACCCTGTTGTATTCTCGTCTAACCCTTGAACGAACGCAGACTTCTATCTTGCGAAGCCACGTCGAACTATTTTTACTCCTCGCGTGTTACGTACACTTCTGTTGTGCCACCTGCATAGGCGTTTGATTTATCCTGTACGGACTCTCTATCAGTGATATCGCGAATAGTAAGCCTTCCCGCACTATCGATGGTACTGAGGACCCTTGATAGTGCGTCTTGCCGCACAAGTCAGGCCCGAAATCATAGTCTAGTGCGGGCGCCCGCTATAGTGCGGGTGAAATCGCTTGGCACATGCATGCCCGCACTTAAAGGGACCCCAACTGTTCATGCACCGATGGCTGCCGGCATAGTCTACATGGGCTTCTTCGGAAGGTAGAGTGTTACAAGAACGATGTTGTGTTAAAATTGCAAGGTGTAGTCCAAAGAGCATGTCTATACCTCTACCGCAGGAAGCGGTGGACGACCGTTTCCAGAGCTCTTGGTTATCGGTGCGCCCCGACTGATCAACGCGGTAACGAGTGTTTCTTTCTTTGTCTGGCCTAGGGTGAATTCATTATTTCGTGATTAGTCTAGAAGAGGCGATAGCCGTGTTGTTTTGGCACGGAGGCAGCCACGCTGTGGCGCGTCACGATAAACAAATGCCTGTGAGATTTTCGATCAGCCTACTTTGGATCTGATTCGATGGGCTTCGTTGTTCCGTGATGATATGTGATAGCCGTTCTGCATTAGCCACGTTGTGGAGGGTCGCAATAAAAAACGGCACGGCTATTTCGGACAACGTTGTCCCAAATTTTTATTTGGGACAACACGTTCTTGTTATGGAGGAAAACGTGGATTTACCGAAGCCACGGAGCCCCTTTTTTAGGCTCTATCTCCTCGGCCCCGGCTCCGTTGTGGACTCAAAATACATTCCGTGAAAGCTGTGTCCAGTAGGATTACAACAAACTTGGTTTGAGGTCGATCCGAGCTTTCTACGCCGCGTTAGACGTGTTGTCCCAAGTAAAAATTGGGGACAACGTTGTCCCAAATAGCCGCGATAAATAAAAAAAGGCATGTGAGCGTTTGTTTTTTTTCTTTCAGCCTACTACGTTGATTATTGATTCGATGAATGCCGTTCACCTACAGCTCGGACGCGGCCACATTATGGCGCTTTCGCATACTGTGCGCTTCGCTTACGACACGGATGCAGCCACACTATGGCACTTCGGGTGTTGCGTGGCACGCGCTTTGCTTACAACATGGATGCAGCCGCACCATTGCGCTTTTCTTGTTGCGTGCTGAGCGCTTTGTCCCCAACGCGGATGCAGCCACATTGTGGGGCTTTGTGTGTAGGGACACGGCGTTGCAGCAAAACAATAGCATGTCCTTTGACGAACGCAGCTTGAAACTTACCACCTTAGCCGTGGAAAGCTCTGGCCGCCTTGGAGAGGAGGGTTACGAGTCCATCGATGAACTCGCGACACATGCCGTGGGAGGAAGGGACGGAGGAACGATGGCTCTGAAAGGAGTCTTAAAGGAACGACTTCTTCTGATCGTTTCGGTGGCTACACAGGTGGCCATATCTCGGCGAGTGCAGAGGTACAAGCTCGCATTGCGCGGGCGTCAAGACGCCGAAAACAGGCGAACAAGATCGACCTCGAACCAGTCAATGCCAATGATATGGGGATGGAGTGTAGACGCATCGTAGAACGCGTTTTCGTTTGAAGTTGGCGTCTTGTTTGAGAGTAGATGTGACAGATTTGCGTAGAATAGGGTGTTATCATGAACGGAGAAGAAAGGGCTTTTCCAACACGGAGATGTAGCATGGATCAAAGCATTTGTTGGATTTCAGCTTTTACGAGAGGACATCAACGCAGTAGTATTTTAGCAAGCTTACGAACGCATACAGGATACCATGAGGATTGTCATTGGTTAAATTTCAAGTTGAAGAGAAGATATTTTTACGATGTTAGTAAGTGGCAGTAGAAATAAGTCCTACATATGTTATTGTACTTCGTATTGGTTTAATATTCGTGTAGAGTATAAGACATCAAGTGAACGTTTTCTGAGGTACATCTGCAATTGTCGGAAGGCAAAAAAAAAAAAAAGCATGTCGAATTATGTAGCTCTACTGTCAGTTACATCGTAAAAATATGNTCAAACAAGACGCCAACTTCAAACGAAAACGCGTTCTACGATGCGTCTACACTCCATCCCCATATCATTGGCGTTGACTGGTTCGAGGTCGATCTTGTTCGCCTGTTTTCGGCGTCTTGACGCCCGCGCAATGCGAGCTTGTACCTCTGCACTCGCCGAGAGATATGGCCACATGTCGACTTGTTGTACCGGCCTACTTACGATTTGATTCAGTAATTGCCGGTCGCCCGCAGCACGGATGCGGCCACACTATGACGCTTTTTCGCGATGCGTGCTACGTGCTTTGCCTACAACATGGATGCAGCCACCCTGTGGCGCTTCGTGTGTTGAGACACAGTTTCACCATAGAACACATGAAATGGCGAAATGTTCTTTGATTCGATGAACGAACGCCGTTCACCGACAGCTCGGACGCGGCCACATTATGGCTCTTTCGCGTGCTGTGCGTGAGGAGTGACGTAACCGAAAATTTCATTCTAAACACTTGATGAACACGCCCTGTTTTCTCGTTCACCGCCCAGATTTAGTCTCTACCACCGATTGTGTTTGTTTGACCTCATTGCCGTCGCCTCTGTTCCCGCAATGCGGTTTACGCCACACGTGGGTCATCCCTGCCGATCGCGGTTATAACGTACACTTTTTGACAAATGGACTAAGCTTCCATGGAAGTCAAAATCTGCTTCCATGGACGTGGTTCGCTGCTTCCATGGAAGTCAATTTACTTCCATGGAAGTCACCGCGGCTTCCACGGAAGTAAATCTGGCTTCCATGCAAGCCAATTTTACTTCCATGGAACCTGCTGGTCTGGATCGGGTAGCCAGCCTCCATGACGCTTCTATGGAAGTGAATCTGCTTCCATGGAAGCAGCCGCTATTTGCCTCCATGGAAGCAGGATTTCGGACTTCCATGGAAGCGCGACGAGGTTCCGTGAAGTGACACTTCCATGGAAGCCCGTCGCTCGGCAGAATCGCTGGAACTTCCATAGAAGTTGCGCCAACTTCCATGCAAGAAAGTTCCATGGACGTAGGTGACAGCGGTCGAACTCCACTTCCATGGAAGCACCGAAACGTCCATGAAAGCAACTTCCATGGAAGTGTCTGAGCATGGGTTCACTCCAGCTTTCGTGGAAGCATTCCAGCTTCCATGGAAGCTGTCGACGAAGACTTCCATGGAAAAGCGGGAATAAGCTTCCATGGAAGTACACGCTAGGGACTTCCACGAATCTAGAACATCCAGCTTCCATGGACGTATATCCTGCCCCTCGAGCTTCCATGGAAGTCGCTCTCAACCCTCCCGAAGGGCTTCCATGGAAGCTTGTTCGTGCCGTTTCCATGGAACAAGGCGTCGAGGCCAACCTTCCATGGGAGTTTCCCCATACAGAGTTTTTCAGCTTCCTCCATCCATGGAACCGTTGCGTGTAAGGGATGCCTACGTGCCCATGTGTGTATACAGTAAGTAGCGAAGATCTATCAAGACGGAAGCGCTGCAGCCAGCTTTAGGAGTTCCCTAGTTACGACATGAAGATTGTGTGTGCACGCTACAAGGTAACAGCAGCCCCCTAGCTTGCAGACGCGTGCAGTATTATGTAGAGCAAATACCACACGCTGTATGACACGCTCCCGTACAGGGCTGTCAGCGAACGGTCAGAATAGCCATCGGTGAAACCCCGAGGTAGGCAGTCGACTATTTGGGGTCCCCAACAGTAGGAATTTGGATCCAGAGCTGGCCCACGCGCCTCTCTCCCTCACACTCATAATCTACCATCAATCTCTGACCTTTGAGTCAGACGTTAACAACGACATCAACCACAGATTCCACGGCGGCATCGTAATAATCGTAATAATGAACTTGCGATCCCAACTCAAGGATAGGCAGATCGTTAAATGACCTTGTTCATTTCCCTGGAGAAGCATTTTGTTATATTACAGCGTTCGTTTGTGAAAAATTCATCTACAACGAGGTCCGGGTTTTCAGTGGATGAAGTGTTCCGCACCGTCTCTTCCATAAACGTATGCTTTCTTGTATCTTCCATGAAATAAAATGATCTCACTTGGGACTTTGCGTGTGTGAATATGTGTGTATTGTTATTATTAGCATCGACTGCGCTAACCGGCTGATCAATGAGAAGACGTCAGTCTCAGTGCGGCTGAAAACACAAAACGCTTCAAAATGCCATTAAATGGGACCCCGTGAGGGGTCAGCATGGGGGAGGCTAAACTACCCTTCGGATCAAAGACAGAAACGGTAGCAACAGAATATACTGCACGCTTCTACCAAGGCAGTTTATTACCTGGCACTCGAGGGCATTTAGGAGTACTTTCTTGTTTTGGCTACCATCATTCTGATCATCATTTGACAACAATATCTTGACAGTTCTTCCCTAGCCCTGCGTCTTTTGTTCTTCTGGGGAAGGTCATGTCGCTCAAACCCTTCGCTCTCTTCCATTCCTCCATGCTTTCCTCCTCCATCGTCGTCTTCGTCCTCCTTTCCTCCCCGTGTGTGTGTAGAACAACAATAAAGCTTCATCGGTGTGGAGGTGATCATGTCCTACCAGTGAGACGTGGACGAAGAATACACACGAAGAAGAGGACCCCCGGCAGTCCGCTTCATCCACGCGGCCTCACCGTGATGGGTGAAGCAGACCGGGCCGCGGTTCCGGTAGCAAGAGGGTAGGTTGGTTGAAGGGCGAGCGACTCGAAGACCGTCGGTAGCAGATGACGGCAAACGCCCTCGTAGGGTAGCAGAAGATGGTGTGATTGGCAAAGATCGAGGTAGGGGTGGAGGATTGGTGGGTTTCGGGGCGGAAGGAACGGGCTACTGTAGACCGCAATAAATCGTCGGCGCAAATGCTGCACGAATGGCTATTACGTCACTCACAATTGGGTACCGCACAATTTAGTCCTCTCAGTCCTGGAAGGAGTGCCAAGATAGGGAAGTAGGTGGCTCCTAGTATAGAGTATATGAAATAGTCTAGTATAAGAAATAGTCCTCCGCCCACGATCGTGCAGATATGGAGCCAAACCCACACCCTAAGACAAATAATTTCAGGTTTCTCTATGCTACAGCAATACTTCGCAACAGCGTATGTATGCGATACACACCTCTGTACGCACTGACGACGGCTGGTGCTGGAACCTTTAGGATGTGGAAATATCGTCATAAGTTCATCAGGTTCGCCAAACGGACCACTAACGAACGCAAAGAAAGATACAGCAGTAGCTGTCGCTACGACGAGCTACAGCTGACCTGATAGATGTAACTGTCGTCAGACGTGCGCGTCCACGGCATGAAGTTCGTGCGATTGCGAGGGGCACCGCAGGTGGAATAGAAGCTGTTTTCTGTTGCAACTGACTTTGTCCTGCGCCAGTCTGCCGCCAACTGCTTGTGGTGTCTGCTGCGCCCGCTGTTACGGTGTCGGCGGTATCTCTCGCTGTCGCCTAGCTGCCGCTCTCTGTCGGTCCACCCGTGGCCTGTGTTGTGCGTCTCTTGATTATTACCAGCATCGACCGCGCTAACCGGCTGACCAATGAAACGACGTGAGTCTTAAGTGTGGTTGAAAACATAAAACACTTCCATCTGCCATGAACTGGGACCCCGTGAGGGGGCAGCATGATTGTGTGTGTGAGAGAGAGAGAAAGATAAAGGATTCACAGTGTTTGTGCAACATGCTGTTTGATCGGTTGTGCTATTTTCTATGTGATCCTTCGTGTCCGTCCAGATTCATACTTTTTGTACCCTGCACGAAGTACAATTCATTCTGTGTGTGCTGTTTGTGCGGAAGAAGACCGAAAAGGGCCGTTACGTATTCCGATTATGCCGCAATCGCACACACGCTCACGCACCAACGCACATTTCTGCCCGTAACCTATTGGTCTCCCTCTGACGACCAGCAGCTCTTGCCTTGTCAAGCTATGGGCTGCTTATTGTAGGGTGAAACGCCAAGTGAAGCGAGCTATGGGGGACATTCTACGAAGGTCGTGGAGATGGAGTAACTTCCGTGGAAGCTGGAGAGGGACATCATTCGTCCAATCGTGTAGGGTGAAACGCCATCGGTGGAAGTGGGGGGAGCGCTTGGGTTCGTTATATGGAACTCGTGGAAGTAAAGCCTACTTCCATGGAAGCTGACGAGATGCATCATTCGTCCAATAGTGTGGGGTGAAACGCCATCGGTGGAAGTGAGGGGAGCGCTTTTTCATGGAAGTCGTGGAAGTAAAGTTGACTCCCATGGAAGCTGGCGAGATGCATCATTCGTCCAATAGTGCCTAGTGAAACGCCATCGGTGGAAGTGAGGGGAGCACTTGGGTTCGTAGTATCGAAGTCGTCGAAGTGAAGTGGACTTCCATGGAAACTGACGAAATGCATCATTTGTCCAAGAGTGTAGGGTGAAACGACATTTGTACAAGTGAAGTGAGAGCTCGGGTTCATACTACGGAAGTCGTGGAAGTGAAGCGGACTTCCATGAATGCTGTCAAGAGGATCATTTGCCAAATAATGTAGGGTGAAACGTCATTGGTGGAAGTGGAGGTGACTTCCATGGAAGCTGACGAGATGCATCATTCGTCCAATAGTGTAGGGTGAAACGGCATTTGTGGAAGCGAGGGGAGCGCTTGGGTTCATTCTACCGGAGTCATGGAAGTAAGTTCAATTCCATGGAAGTTGTCAAGCGGACCATTTGTCAGTGTAGGGTGAAACGCCATTGGTGGAAGTGACGGGAACGCTTGGGTTCCGTCTACGAAAGTCATGGAACAATAGTCAACTTCAATGGCAGTTGCCAAGAGGACCACTTGTCAAATAGTGTAGGGTGAACGCCATTGGTGGAAGTGACGGGAGCGCTTGGGTTCATTCTACGGAAGTCATGGAAGTAAAGTCAATTTCCGTGGAA